ACATACACATAGAATAATATGTGTAAAGAATCTACAAACAGTTCAATATTACCTGAAACAAGGTGTAAGGCAGAAAGAAGCCAACAATAAGGTGGAGTAGGAGGCAGTGGTCAGGTTTCTCATGAGAAGAATCATATTTCATCTTATGGATCAATGCTTCTCAATCTTTTTTGGTATCTGTTTAATAGTCCTAAAGGCTGAATGCAAGACTATTCCACATTACAGCGTATCTGCTCCATAATACAAGGTACAGTGTGCAGCTCTCTGGATTATGTTCTAACAAAGGTGACCACACTGACTAAGAAAAATCAAAAGCCACAAGTCTGGTGTACACTAGCACACCAAGGCATACGTAGGGACTGTCTACTTGAAAAAAAGGAAGCTACAAAAGGACATGACAGCGAGATTTGTATTTTCGGCTAGTCGCTCATTGGGCTAAGTGGCAAGACTGGAATACAACAATCTGTTTTCAATGCTCCTGAAAAGAAACATACAAAACGATTTCCCCCAAATGTAGGTCTGACTTCATCATAATTCACCAGTGTCTGTGGTAGCAATACACAACCAAGCAATGTTGGGGAAGAGGGGTGGGGTAAGCTGGTAATACATGAATGAGATCTGAAGCAGTGCCAAAATTAGCCATTTTTTTCTACTCCAAACCCACTAAAAACCTCATAGATGTGACATTAGCACTACTGTACTTCATCAATTCTATGATGTACATTTTGCCACAGGATGTATCATGCTATCAATGGTATCATAGTTTTAACTGAAAAAATTTTTTCCCTTCTCAAGGTTCATAAAAATCACCATTTTCTTACAATCAATGGCATATTAGAATCTATGATATATTAGATTTGATTTAAATAATACCATTTGAAATTTTTTCAAGAAGATAGAGGGTACCAGATGTCAAAGCATGGGCTTATCTGCATAGTACACACACACACACACACACACACACACACACACACACAAAATGCTAGAAATACAAGTGACCAGAACACTTTCTTAAGCCTCAGCAGTTCTATTTTGGACAGGCAGATGAAAAGAATAATCCTGACAAAATGTGATGAAAATAGGCTTAGGTTCTATTGTAAATTTGTGGATTTGGGAGGGAAGAAGGCATAAAGAAGATCCATTTTAGAAATCAAATATTTGTTTGACAAAAATGACAACACAGGGGAGGGGGGAGGGAGGGAGGAAAGATCAGAAATTTGGAGGGAAATTTTCTTATCATTAAAAGCATTTAATGTTAATAGATAAAAATCAAATTACAAACAAGCAAAAGGAAAAGTCTACAACCCAACTTTCCAGAGACAACTACTGGTAACACCTTGATCTACAGAGCTTTCTGCACTTATTTGTGCATGCACGTGGGTGTGGTTTTTAAATAGAGATCACTGTTTTTTTTTCTTTTTGATTTGAGATGGAGTCTTCCTCCATAGCCCAGGCTGGAGTGCAGTGGTGTACTCACTGCAACCTCCACCTCCTGGGTCCTGGTTCAAGTAATTTTCCTGCCTCAGCCTCCCGAATAGCTGAAATTACAGGCACGTCCACCATGCCCAGCTAAGTTTTGTGTTTTTAGTAGAGACAGTTTTACCATGTTGGTCAGGCTGGTCTTGAACTGCTGACCTCATGATCTGCCCGCCTCGGCCTCCCAAAGTGCTGGGATTATAGGCATGTTTTTCTTTTTAAAAATATACAAACCATTCTGTATCTTGGTTCCCTCCCTCATCACAGAACTGGTAAGCAGACAAGTTGTTTAGATCACAGAAAAAGTATGGAATCACTAAAATAGATTGAAGAAGTGATCTCAAGAGAAGATATAGGCTGGGCACAGTGGCTCACACCTGTAATCCCAGCACTTTGGGAGGCTGAGATGGGTGGATCACCTGAGGTCAGGAGTTCAAGACCAGCCTGGTCAACATGATGAAACCCCATCTCCACAGAAATACAGAAATTAGCCAGGCATGGTGGTGGCGGGTACCTGTAATTCCAGCTACTCGGGAGGCTGAGGCAGAAAAATCGCTTGAACCCGGAGGCAAAGGTTGCAATGAGATCATGCCATTGCACTACAGCCTGGGCGACAGAGTGAGACTCCGCCTCAAAAAAACAAAAAGGACAGAGAAGGAGCTATAGATAAGTGAAGATATAGTTAAGTTTCAAAATAAAGCAAGCATACTCTTGGTCTCTACTTTTCTGAAATAATTAGTTGAAAGCTGGGGGAAGAGATGGGGTAAAAGACAAAGAAAATTCAAGTGTAGACAACAAAAATGGAAGTAGACTGTAATCCTCAATGTTGCCACCCAAAGTTGGACATTATCGATTTACAGTTGAGCTCATTAGCACACTTATTCTACTTCTGCTGACAAGATTAAGCCATCGGAGGCAATAACTAGTGAATTAATCCAGCAAGATAGGATGGGCAGGATAAGAGAGGTAGAAGGCAAGGAGCTGAGAGAACTGATTTACCAAAAATATTGAAATGACTGACCTAAACATCCCTAGGTAACAGACAGGTAGTAAAATCTGAGTAAGCTGACAGACTGAACAGGGTAGGGACATCATATTGGGGGCTTCAAAGAGTGAATTTGGTGGAAACCAGGAAGAGAGGTGGAAGGGTCAATAAGGTGGAAGAACTGAAAATTATGGTCAGAATATTATTTTAGAGTTGAGGTACACTTCCAGGAAGAGAGCCTTCCTAGGTAGGAGACCTAGGTATAGTCAGGAGAGTAAACTGCTGCAGCAAAAAGAGGGCAGTACCTTTTTGAAGAAATCAATACAATTGTGAGAACACAATTAAAGGCAAGAATTAGCTATAAATGTTTTTCACATAAGAACACTTGTTTTGGTAAATAATATCAAGAGCAAAGAATAGAGTTTTTGAAGAAAGGTTGATGAAACAAGGGTATGGAAACAAGAAGAGTATTAAACATCCTGTACTCCCTACCAAAAAAAAATAAGGAAGCATGTGAAAACAAGCATTTAACTCTACAGCAAGAGATCATGCTAAAAATAGTCTATTTTCTTCTTTTGAAAAACTATCAAAAAAAGAATATGGTAGCCAGTTATCTGTCAAAAAATAGTAAAGTAGGCAAATCTGCAGCTTGCTGATGGAATTATATTTAAAGAATCCGTAACAACATGAAGATAAATCTATTAGGTCACATGGTATATATGGAAAAAGAGTTAAGAGTTTTAGTTATGGCAGGCTCAAGGAACCAAAGAACAACATATCTTTAAAAAAAAACAACCAACCAATCTCTCAA